TTGTCTGCTTTGACGCTGCTCACCTGCAGCTGGACCCTGCCAGCGTGAAATATTCCCTCAGGCCGTTTGTGTGGCAGCCCAGATCCAAACCAAAAAACCACCGTGGGCTATTTAACCTGCATCCTGTTACCTGAGTCACACGTTACATGGCGTGCACGGCATCCGAACAATAAACGGCTCAGAACGTGGAGAGGAGTGGAAACGCAGCGTAGGAAGGCTTCACTGGATTTAAACCTTGTGACAAAGTTTTTAAAGCTCATGAGATACAAAGTTACAATGAATTTGCATCTGAAAAAAGCTGCTTTTCAAGTTTGTCTACTGGTCCTACTGGAGCTCCTCAGCTCAACCAGAGACAGCGTGAGATAAACTCTGATAACAGCTCGCTGATGCTACATCTGTACTCCACCCTAACTGCTCCACATGGTTAAAACCCTGAATTCTTCTACTTTTACTGCCTCAAGTTGTCCCTCTGAAAACTTTAACCGCCTTATCACGCCCTTATTTTCTTACCACGGGTTCACGACGGTGCTGTGACCCCAGGCCACGTAGGAGGCGGCTTCATCTCTGGCAGGTGATGCTGTGGCCACATACACCTGATTATCAAGCGCCCTGCATAAAGACACATTAAAATGATTCGTGCAGCTTATTCAGGCGTTCTTTTGCCTTATAAGTAACATGTCTGGTTAACGAAAGCTCAACCCTCAGATCAGATATCTGGCTGAAAGATGACTCTAACATGTCTGCAGCAATTTATTCTTTTGGGAGTGACTGACTATGACCCTCAGTCTGACCTCCCCCTCTGCAGGAGCTCCCAGTGGGCGGGGCCTGTGGTCATGTTGAAGGCTCCAGGGTAAACCAGCAGCTGACAGCCTGAGGACAAAAGCGCAAATCAGCTGTGGTACATCACAGGAAAACAAAATCAAAACACTCCTTTCAGACGCTTACCCTTCCTGCTGTAGAGCTGGGCGAGCTCCGCAAACCTGATGTCATAGCAGATCCCAACGCCCACTTTGCAGAACGCTGCAGGAGGAACACATCAGATCAACGTATGCTCATCCAGACTGCGAGGCAGAAAGTCTGCGACTGTCGCTCACGTGTGTCAAACAGCGATAAACTGTTCCCCGGGCTCAGCGTCTCAGATTCCTGGAAGCGGATTTTTCCGGGAACGTCGATGTCAAACAAGTGAATCTTAGAGGAGGAAAGAAAAAAGATGAAGAGGATTCATCTCTGCAACTGACCACACGCTGTATACGACCCACACATACCTTCCTGTGTTTAAGAATCATCTCTCCATCAGAGCCAAACACTGTACAGGTGTTGTACAACTTCCCACCATCCTCCTCGGGAATGGATCCTGTGGATGATGACGAGTCTTAAGAGCTTAAAAACTCAAGAGGTCTCAATGAAAAGGCTCTTGGACGAGAGACGGATGTCATCACAAACATAAAGAAGTTAAGAGCACAATGACCTGGACAACTGGAAACCTACATCAACATAACGAAAAGTAATTTGAACTGAACTTGGATTTAAAGTTATCCCAATCTTCTTAAACGACGACCACGCTTGGGTGGCAAGTGGTCCTATTACAATCATCACTGTCTCCATGTGTTTATCCTTGGACTCTGACCGAGACACATGAAAGAGACACGACAACCAAAGACTCCTTAAAATAAATCTTTGGGAGAATTCTGTAAAACCTCGTCACTTCCTGTACTTTGCACCCAACATGACGATGGAGAAAACTTTACACTCAATGCTTAAAAAAACAGGACTTCAACAGGTCAGATCGCCATGTCTGTTTTTATACTGTCTGTGGTGAAGCCCATCAGTCCATCCTCTGCCTGAGACCAGCGCCTCTCCTCTCCTTTCTTCTGATTGGCCACCTCTTGGAAACAGAAGGTTTGAACAGCAGATATCCCTCTTTGTGACATCGTACTCATCCAAGAGTTTAAAAAAGTCTTAAACCTGAGATTTTATCTCATAGAGATTACTTGCACATACACCGACCTCGTGAAACGAAACCTTGAGCTTGTTTAGTGTGATGATCTGTTAAAAAGGTTTCTGAGGGAACACTTAGAGGATAAAACACGGTAAAGTGCAAGCAGCAGAGCAGCTGTTT